ACTGATCAAAAAATTAATTTGACAGTGAAGGGAGCAGTGGGTCAGGTGTGGAGGTGAGGGCAACCAGCAAATGCGAGAGTGCCTTGAGCAGAGCTTGGACGTCCTGCCTGTGGATCACTACGCCCCTTCTTGGCCAGTGTGAGTGCCTTGATTTTACATGTTAAACACAATCACAATTATTTATCACATAGCTTTATCGCCACGCGTTAACCTTGGATATGTATGTTGTAGCACCTTCTTAAACTCACCTCGGGTTGAACTTATTGCCCGAAATGTTGTGGGAATTGGTTACTTTGTGAGAATGATCCTCACGTTACCTCATACTACAGAATGCTCTAGCCAGTGTGAAGTGTGCTCTAGCCAGTGTGAAGTGTGCTCTAGCCAGTGTGAAGTGTGCTCTAGCCAGTGTGAAGTGTGCTCTAGCCCATGTAAGATGTGCTCTAGCCAGTGTAAGGTGTGCTCTAGCCAGTGTGAAGTGTGCTCTAGCCAGTGTAAGGTGTGCTCTAGCCAGTGTAAGGTGTGCTCTAGCCAGTGTAAGGTGTGCTCTAGCCAGTGTAAGATGTGCTCTAGCCAGTGTAAGATGTGCTCTAGCCAGTGTAAGGTGTGCTCTTGTCAGTGTAAGGTGTGCTCTAGCCAGTGTAAGGTGTGCTCTAGCCAGTGTGAAGTGTGCTCTAGCCAGTGTAAGGTGTGCTCTAGCCAGTGTAAGGTGTGCTCTAGCCAGTGTAAGGTGTGCTCTAGCCAGTGTAAGATGTGCTCTAGCCAGTGTAAGGTGTACTCTAGCCAGTGTAAGGTGTGCTCTAGCCAGTGTAAGGTGTGCTCTAGCCAGTGTAAGGTGTGCTCTAGCCAGTGTAAGATGTGCTCTAGCCAGTGTAAGGTGTGCTCTAGCCAGTGTAAGGTGTGCTCTAGCCAGTGTAAGGTGTGCTCTAGCCAGTGTAAGGTGTGCTCTAGTCAGTGTGAAGTGTGCTCTAGCCAGTGTGAAGTGTGCTCTAGCCCATGTAAGGTGTGCTCTAGCCAGTGTAAGGTGTGCTCTAGCCAGTGTAAGGTGTGCTCTAGCCAGTGTGAAGTGTGCTCTAGCCAGTGAGAAGTGTGCTCTAGCCCATGTAAGATGTGCTCTAGCCAGTGTAAGGTGTGCTCTAGCCAGTGTAAGGTGTGCTCTAGCCAGTGTAAGGTGTGCTCTAGCCAGTGTAAGATGTGCTCTAGCCAGTGTAAGATGTGCTCTAGCCAGTGTAAGGTGTGCTCTTGTCAGTGTAAGGTGTGCTCTTGTCAGTGTAAGATGTGCTCTAGAGAGTGCAAGGTGTGCTCTTGCACTTTTGTTGCACTGGCACTCACCACTCTCCACCACTGGCACTCACCACTCTCCACCACTGACACTCATCTCTCTCCACCACTGACACTCACCACTCTCCACCACTGACACTCACCACTCTCCACCACTGACACTCACCACTCTCCACCACTGACACTCATCACTCTCCACCACTGACACTCATCTCTCTCCACCACTGACAGTCACCACTCTCCACCACTGACACTCACCACTCTCCACCACTGACACTCACCACTCTCCACCACTGACACTCATCACTCTCCACCACTGACACTCATCTCTCTCCACCACTGACACTCACCACTCTCCACCACTGACACTCACCACTCTCCACCACTGACACTCATCACTCTCCACCACTGACACTCATCTCTCTCCACCACTGACACTCACCACTCTCCACCACTGACACTCATCACTCTCCACCACTGACACTCATCACTCTCCACCACTGACACTCATCTCTCTCCACCACTGACACTCACACCACTCTCCACCACTGACACTCATCACTCTCCAACACTGACACTCACCACTCTCCACCACTGACACTCATCACTCTCCACCACTGACACTCATCTCTCTCCACCACTGACACTCACACCACTCTCCACCACTGGCACTCACCACTCTCCACCACTGGCACGCGCCACTCTCCACCACTGGCACTCACCTCTCTCCACCACTGGCACTCACCTCTCTCCACCACTGACACTCACCACTCTCCACCACTGGCACTCACCACTCTCCACCACTGGCACTGACCTCTCTCCACCACTGGCACTCATCTCTCTCCACCACTGACACTCACCTCTCTCCACCACTGACACTCACCACTCTCCACCACTGACACTCACCACTCTCCACCACTGGCACTCGCCACTCTCCACCACTGGCACTCACCACTCTCCACCACTGACACTCATCACTCTCCACCACTGACACTCACACCACTCTCCTCCACTGGCACTCACCACTCTCCACCACTGGCACTCACCACTCTCCACCACTGGCACTCACCACTCTCCACCACTGGCACTCATCTCTCTCCACCACTGACACTCACACCACTCTCCACCACTGACACTCACCACTCTCCACCACTGACACTCACCACTCTCCACCACTAGCACTCACCACTCTCCACCACTGACACTCATCTCTCTCCACCACTGACACTCACACCACTCTCCACCACTGGCACTCACCACTCTCCACCACTGGCACTCGCCACTCTCCACCACTGGCACTCGCCACTCTCCACCACTGGCACTCACCTCTCTCCACCACTTGCACTCATCTCTCTCCACCACTGACACTCACACCACTCTCCACCACTGACACTCACCACTCTCCACCACTGACACTCACCACTCTCCACCACTGAAACTCACCACTCTCCACCACTGGCACTCACCACTCTCCACCACTGGCACTCATCTCTCTCCACCACTGACACTCACCACTCTCCACCACTGACACTCATCTCTCTCCACCACTGACACTCATCTCTCTCCACCACTGACACTCACCACTCTCCACCACTGGCACTCATCTCTCTCCACCACTGACACTCACCACTCTCCACCACTGACACTCATCTCTCTCCACCACTGACACTCACCACTCTCCACCACTGGCACTCATCTCTCTCCACCACTGACACTCACCACTCTCCACCACTGACACTCATCTCTCTCCACCACTGACACTCACCACTCTCCACCACTGACACTCACCACTCTCCACTACTGACACTCACCACTCTCCACCACTGGCACTCACCACTCTCCACCACTGGCACTGACCTCTCTCCACCACTGGCACTCATCTCACTCCACCACTGACACTCACCTCTCTCCACCACTGACACTCACCACTCTCCACCACTGACACTCACCACTCTCCACCACTGACACTCACCACTCTCCACCACTGGCACTCACCACTCTCCAACACTGACACTCACCACTCTTCACCACTGACACTCACCACTCTCCAACACTGACACTCATCTCTCTCCACCACTGACACTCACCACTCTCCACCACTGGCACTCATCTCTCTCCACCACTGACACTCACCACTCTCCACCACTGACACTCATCTCTCTCCACCACTGACACTCACCACTCTCCACCACTGGCACTCATCTCTCTCTCCACCACTGACACTCACCACTCTCCACCACTGACACTCATCTCTCTCCACCACTGACACTCACCACTCTCCACCACTGACACTCACCACTCTCCACCACAGACACTCACCACTCTCCACCACTGGCACTCACCACTCTCCTCCACTGGCACTCGCCACTCTCCACCACTGGCACTCACCTCTCTCCACCACTGGCACTCCTCTCTCCACCACTGACACTCACCACTCTCCTCCACTGACACTCACACCACTCTCCACCACTGGCACTCACCACTCTCCACCACTGGCACTCGCCACTCTTCACCACTGGCACTCACCTCTCTCCACCACTGGCACTCACCTCTCTCCACCACTGACACTCACCACTCTCCACTTCTGGCACTCACCACTCTCCACCACTGGCACTCACCTCTCTCCACCACTGACACTCACCACTCTCCACCACTGACACTCACCACTCTCCACCACTGGCACTCATCTCTCTCCACCACTGCCACTCACCACTCTCCACCACTGACACTCACCACTCTCCACCACTGACACTCACCACTCTCCACCACTGACACTCACCACTCTCCACCACTGACACTCACCACTCTCCACCACTGACACTCACCACTCTCCACCACTGACACTCACCACTCTCCACCACTGACACTCACACCACTCTCCACCACTGACACTCACCACTCTCCACCACTGACACTCACATCACTCTCCACCACTGACACTCACCACTCTCCACCACTGACACTCACCACTCTCCACCACTGACACTCACACCACTCTCCACCACTGACACTCACACCACTCTCCACCACTGACACTCACACCACTCTCCACCACTGACACTCACACCACTCTCCACCACTGGCACTCATCTCTCTCCACCACTGACACTCACACCAATCTCCACCACTGACACTCACGCCACTCTCCACCACTGGCACTCACCTCTCTCCACCACTGACACTCACCATTCTCCACCACTGACACTCACCACTCTCCACCACTGGCACTCATCTCTCTCCACCACTGCCACTCACCACTCTCCACCACTGACACTCACCACTCTCCACCACTGACACTCACCACTCTCCACCACTGACACTCACCACTCTCCACCACTGACACTCACCACTCTCCACCACTGACACTCACCACTCTCCACCACTGACACTCACATCACTCTCCACCACTGACACTCACCACTCTCCACCACTGACACTCACCACTCTCCACCACTGACACTCACACCACTCTCCACCAATGACACTCACACCACTCTCCATCACTGACACTCACACCACTCTCCACCACTGACACTCACACCACTCTCCACCACTGGCACTCATCTCTCTCCACCACTGACACTCACACCACTCTCCACCACTGACACTCACACCACTCTCCACCACTGGCACTCACCACTCTCCACCACTGACACTCACCATTCTCCACCACTGACACTCACCACTCTCCACCACTGGCACTCATCTCTCTCCACCACTGCCACTCACCACTCTCCACCACTGACGCTCACCACTCTCCACCACTGACACTCACCACTCTCCACCACTGACACTCACCACTCTCCACCACTGACACTCACCACTCTCCACCACTGACACTCACCACTCTCCACCACTGACACTCACCACTCTCCACCACTGACACTCACACCACTCTCCACCACTGACACTCACCACTCTCCACCACTGACACTCACATCACTCTCCACCACTGACACTCACCTCTCTCCACCACTGGCACTCATCACTCTCCACCACTGACACTCACACCACTCTCCACCACTGACACTCACCACTCTCCACCACTGGCACTCACCACTCTCCACCACTGACACTCACCACTCTCCACCACTGGCACTCATCACTCTCCACCACTGACACTCACACCACTCTCCACCACTGACACTCACCACTCTCCAACACTGGCACTCATCACTCTCCACCACTGGCACTCACCACTCTCCACCACTGGCACTCATCACTCTCCACCACTGACACTCACCACTCTCCACCACTGACACTCACCACTCTCCACCACTGGCACTCATCACTCTCCACCACTGGCACTCATCACTCTCCACCACTGACACTCACACCACTCTCCACCACTGACACTCACACCACTCTCCACCACTGACACTCACCACTCTCCAACACTGACACTCACCACTCTCCAACACTGACACTCACCACTCTCCAACACTGACACTCACCATTCTCCACCACTGACACTCACCACTCTCCACCACTGACACTCGCCACTCTCCACCACTGACACTCACCACTCTCCACCACTGACACTCGCCACTCTCCACCACTGACACTCGCCACTCTCCACCACTGACACTCACCACTCTCCACCACTGACACTCGCCACTCTCCACCACTGACACTCACCACTCTCCACCACTGACACTCACGACTCTCCACCACTGACACTCACCTCTCTCTAACACTGACACCACTCTCCACCACTGGTATTGGTGGTTAGTGATGGAGGGTGGTGGTGATGGGGGTTCATCA